AATTCTTCAAAGCTTTAACAAGCCTCTTTTGTAAATCCAATACAGACAGTCCCCTACTTACAAATTTTTGAGTTGTGAACTTTTGCTGATACGAACAAGATGGACCCAGAAGTCAGAAGAAGGCAGGAAAGGGTTAGTTCCTGGGCAAAGGGACAAACTGGTGGGGCATGGTGTGCTCCGTTGCTGGATGAAGCAGGAGAGGCGGTGGTGGCTCCCTGGCAAAGGGGGCAGCTGTGCCCCCTTCGCCCAGGGTGTGTCCCTCACAACTGCCCCCTTTGCCAGGGAGCCACCACCGCCTCTCCTGCCTCATTCAGTAAACTAACCCTTTCCAGGAACTCCAACACAAACCTCCAACCTCCCGTATGTGGTGTGCCAGAAACTAACCCTTTCCCGCCTTCTCCCACCTTCCAGGAGGTTGGAGGTTTGTGTTGGAGTTTACAGCGTGTGTTGGAGGCTGCAATTTTCAGCCTTCCTCCTGCAAGGGCCAGCAGTTTCCAACACAAGCTGCAGAGTGCACGCTGTGCCTGTGCTCATATCTCTGCTTCTTCCAGTTCCACCACCACTCTGAACAGCACCTCCTGCACAGCCATCCCCTTCGCCCAGGGAGACACTGCTGCCTCTCCTGCCTCACCAGCAGTGGAGCACACCATGCCCCACCAGCTCATCCCACTGCGTTCTCCACAGTCTGCGTGCTATCACTCCTTGTGTTGGCAGCAGAAGACAGGGCTCCTCTGCCCACACTGCTGCCCTGCCTCCTCCTCTTTTTTTTTTTTTTTTTTCTTTTTACAGTTCTTTTTACTTGGCTGGACTTACAAACAAAATGGACTTATGAACAGCCTCTTGGAACGTAACCTGTTCATACATAGGGGACTGTTTGTATAGGAAAATTATCCAGGTCATTCTCCTGGTTTGTTATTTGTATATACCTTTTAATTGTTAAGACATCAGCTGGTTTCTTTTGTATGTCCAGCACAGCATCTTTTTCATTATCATTCTTATAATTAATAAAAGTAGATTCTTGAAATCTACTTTCAGATCAGTCTCAGTCTTGTCAGGTAAAACGTGTTCCTCTTCCATAACATCCTTTAAACATAGTCTACAGGTAGTCCTCACTTAACGACCACAATAGGAACTGGAAAATTTGTTGTTAGGTGGGGTGGTTGTTAAGCAAGTCGCACCTGATTTTTTGTAGCGGTCATTAAGTGAATTAATGCAGCCATTAAGAAAATCACATGGTCATTAAGCAAATCATGCAGTTCCTGCTGATTTTGCTTGCTGGAAGCTGGCTGGGAAGGTCACAAATGGCGATCACATGACCCCAAGATGCTGTAACCATCATAAATGCAAGCTGGTTGCCATATGCCCGGATTGCGATCACATGAGCACAGGGGTGCTGCAATGGTTGTAAGTGCGAGGACCAGTTGTAAGTCCCTTTGTTCAGAACCATTGTAATTTCAAACGGTCCTTAAATGAATGGTTATTAAGTGAGGACTACCCGAATCTATAGAAGCAGACACTCTTAAAATTAACTTCTGGGTCCATTGTTCAAAAATATCCTTCAGTGTAACCAATGTTAAAATATTTTGCTTCATTCTGTATCTGTAAATTGAATTTAAGTGTTCTTCTCCTTTAATTATAATCTTTAGTTCCTTCTAGTTCCCTCTAGTGTTCAACCTTCAAACTCCCATCCTATCATGTTTTTTTTTTTTAAAGAATTCAAAAGCATTTTCCCATGGGAAGGATTCTTATAATTAATTCCAGAATCTTATTTCAAATCCATCTGGACCCTTAGTCTATTTGTAACTTTCCAAAATCAAAGTTCTAATCACCCTTTTGTTGTTTATTAAATAGTTTGTTTTTAAGTCCTTAAACTTGTATTTAAAACTTCTTTCACTAAGGATTGAGGGAAACTTACCCGGTGTTTTCAGACTAATTAATCCAGAGGTTCCTAGTAGCTGAAAAACAGTTAACAAGCAATTTCCAAAAGTGATTAGAAAAGGAAGTAGGCAAATCCAGTGTCCTTTTAAAGAAGCCGACCATGGTTTGACCAACATGGCTAGTCCCTCGTCTCCCAGAGCTCTAATCCCACCAGAGACCGCTCTCCGGAGAAGAATTACAAAGAGCCGGTCTACTCGCCGGCTCTTCATTCCGCTGTGGTCGTTGGCTCTGCTTTTAACGGAACCGTCTTCAGTTTGCCATTTCTTCCCTGGAAGACTGCAATGGGCCACATGTCTTCAGTGATGACAAATAAGAAGACGTGTACAGTATTTCGTATTAAGTTGTTTTATTGCAAATACAAATGCTACATTGGGATCAAACACCTTTTCTCAGAGATGTAAATTGAAAACATGCCAGACTCTGCATGCAGCATATGTATGATGTGACTTTATAGACTGGGATAGGGTCTCATGCTTTCTGGGCTTCTTTGTAGCCCCTTGCTCTGGTGGTCTGAAAAGAGTCTAGGTTCATACAACCTTTTATGTAGGCTATGTACAATTGATTAAATACGCTGTCTTTTGCTAGATTTACAAGATTGTTTGATGAGAGCTTCACACATAACACCTATCTTTCAGCAAGCTTTCAGTTTTTAGATCTTGGGATGAATATGCACAAACTGCAAGATCAGTTCCTGCAATGTTGAGAAGAAACAGTATCTGCTACTGAATGTTTTAGTACAATGTAGGATATATAGCAACATAAGCATTTGCATTAAAATCCACAAACTCTTAAAGAAAACCAAATACTTCAACAATGAGAGCTTCTTCTGTAATTACATCACATTACAGATGAAAAGACTGGATTACTGAAGACTATGAATGAGTTACAATTAAAAAAAACTGGGTTGCAGGGGATATGTATATTATTCATTTTAATAAATGTAGAAGTCACAATTTGGAAAACCTTACTGAAGTATATAAACACGGGTGTTTTAATATGAAATTATAAATATGTGATCTTAGATACATAAGTGATTTATAAATATGTGCTGTATACTAAACTAGCATTTTCTTATATCTCATTCAACAATTATGTT